TTCGATCGGTTATATTCTGTATACGCATTGTATCGTATCTATATAAATCGTAACATGGAAACATGATTATCGTTTAATAGATGCGCGTCGCGCGTCGTGTCCCTGAACTCTGAATAAATTCCCATACGCACCATCCGCGTGTAAAAAAAAAAAAAAAAAAAAAAAAAAAAGATACGTTTTAAAAGCCAAGAAAAATAAAGGCTGCACAGATGAGTTACGTTCTATGATCGAAAAATGCTTGTATGCAAATGAATGGGAATGAAAAGCGGTGCGCGTTTGTTTGCTCGACAAAGGCGCTTTTTTCCAGAATACGATTCAAAATGACGAGCCAAAGAGTTCCTACGTACCTATAATACAATGCACGTTGGTAGGTATATTGTTGGTATATAAAACACATTATACAAAGCGCGTATAATAATGCGGAGAAGAGCGCAGCCGTGTAATTTTCCCTTTCCCCGACAAAGATTTACTTTAACGCCGATACACGTCAATTGTGCAGGTATATGCGCGATTTTGCGAAAAATTTCCGACCACGCGAGCCTACGATCATCTCACAGGATTGAGTTTTTCCGGATAGTGAGGCGAACAACTTTTTTTTTTTTTTTTTTTTTTTTAATCGATTCAAAGTATAGAAAAGTGCTCAACGTGATTTTTTTGGCTGTAGACTGCACATTGACAAAATTAATTCATATTTTTGATAAAACTATTGAAGGAAAATAACGAAAAACCCTAAACTTGATTAATGAGAAATTACTATGATTTAACGAGGGTTAAGAATAAGTGTATTGAGAATAACGAAATATTACTCGAAAAAAACGTCAAAGAGGTAAAATAGTTTGTATTTAATATCATCAATTAAAATATTTCTCCTCGGATGAAAAAAAAAGGCTGTAAATGGGTGAAATCTCAATACGACGCTAAACACAGAGTGACACGCGGAGCCAACGAATCTTACATTGTCTTTCAAAACTGGTACGACACTTGTTTTTCGCGGAATCGCTCGTACGTGTGTTTTTCCAGAGGACACAATAAAAATCGAAAACACATAAGTAGTGCGAGTGTATAAATATCTTCTGTATACATTATGAATATAATAGACGAGCGGCACATGATGTGCGTGTCCTCTCTCTCTCTCTCTCTATGCATGCAGTATAAGCAATGCATAACCAGAGAGGGGGAAAAAAAAAAAAGGTTTCTATGAGACTGCACGACGGAAGGCTTACTTGAATGTGAATGAGAGCCGCGATGAAATTACAAACAGGTAGGCAGATACTGTCCGTCTGGGGGATAACAATGGAAGACGCACACACTGTGCGAGAAGTAGGAAAAAAAAAAAAAAAAAAAAAAGATGTACACAAAATAAACGCGTAGGTGTGTGTGTATATGCATATGAGGTACAAGAACGAAACGACGTGTTTAGGAGCTGATGTGCGATGAATCAAAAAGCCATGAGAGGGGGATGTACTAATAAGAGGGAGGGAGAAAAGTCGAGGAACGAGGCCTCATTGTCGTTAACGCATCACGATGCGGTGCAGCTGTTGCCCCGGTTTTCCGTCTATTAATCGCCACCGCAGCAGTAGTATAATACATATAGGGTGGGGGAGGAGTAGGTTGAGACTGTATATTTTTTATTGTCTGGTGGAGGTAAAATTGTTCCTTATATATATATATACCTATACTCGTAATGATATATAGTATATAAGGAGGACGCCGGAGGCTTTGACTGTACTAGCGAGAGAGCAACTTACAAACTATCATACGGGCTAGTGCAAGAACCGAAGAAGAGGTATTTTAGGAGAATGTAGCAAAGATGAGGGTGATGCAAAAAGTAAGACTCGCTACAATAATATATACATGTATTATAATATGGTGTGTACGGAAGCAGCAGGCGGTGCGATGGTGGTGGGCTCGGGCATTGAATGCGTAATTTTTTAATTTCCAAGCATACCATGGTATATATATACAGAGAGAGGGCGGCCGGGGGCTTTGACCAGCAGAGAGAAAGAGGGACACCTGCCCTCTCTCTCTCTGGAGCTTCCCTTTGTGAGCTAGCGTTCCGAGGGCCCTGTGTGTATATTATACATGTGGGATTAACCGTGACTCCGTGCATCTCACGTATACATATATATATATATATATAGTTACACACGCGATTTGAGCACTCGGCTCGGCTATATACACTCGGCCTTTTTCCCCCGGTGTAAGTATATAGAGGGAGAGGAGACGAGCGAGAGAAAAAGACGGTTGCGACGAGGGCGGCGGGTAGTATGTTATATGTATAAGGTATTGGCCGCGCGAGAAGGGATTTTTCGTACTCGGCCACGCTCTTTTTTTGGTTAGTCCCGCGAGGTAGGTTTGTATACTTACCGATTCTTATCGCCCGCACGAGGCTAAGGACTTCCGAGACCCTCTCAACCCTTGGATGGTTTTTTTTTTTTTTTTTTTTTTTTATCTTCATGTGCAGTTATATTACACACTGTGCAACAAATACATGGGTATGTATTACATTATACACGAAGTGTGGNTTCATTTTTTTTCATTTTTATAATAGTACTATTTAGTACTAAAGCACTACAAAAGTAGAGTTGTATAAATTGTTTTTTTTTTTTTTTTTTTTTTTTTGTATTTATAAATCGCGAGGAGTCACATAGAGATGTTTTCGTATCGGAAGATAACTGCGTGACAAAAATAAATGAACTTTTGACGTTTAAATCTTAAAATTTGAATCGCGCATCAAAATCCATTGCCACAATTAATTTGATTCCCGGGTGCATAGGCGTACAGAATGAAGAATCCCCTACCCCCACAGAATAGGAGAGCGTGCCGGCGCATAGAACGGGGGAAGGGAGGTATATATACATATATACGCGCACTATGCAATGTACGAGAAGTAGGCGGCGTTTCCCGGCTCGGCCCAATCGAGAAGGCGGAGGAGAAGGTGGGAAAGACCGCGACGCCCACACGAAGCTGCGACGCCGCCTAATCGGTGGCTACATATATACGTATTGGCTATACGCTACGCTCTCTAGTATATCGCAGATGTGCAGAGATAGAGATAACGGATTGGTAATGGAACTTTCACGATTGTTTGATGGATTCTTTTTTTTTTCCGTACGTGATTTACATTCAGATTAAATTTTTTTTTTCTTTTTCTTCGTGTGCTCGTTCAGTCCGATAAGGCACGTGTCGCTGTGTGTCGCAAAGTACGAGAGGCTCGTGTGTTTGTAGGGGAGGTACAATGAGATTTCTAAAAAATTTTAAACAAAAATACATCATCTCTCGATTACAATTTGATTCATTGTAATGTATTGTTATGAATCAGAAGTACAGGTGGTACCTATATATTTTGTATCGCAAGTGCGCAATGTTTTCTGGATAAATATTATATCGAGGTCGGTGTACTTTTTTTTCGATGATTGGATGTGATTTTTCATTTTCGGCAACTGGAGGCTATAGAAGCAAAATATTTGACGATTCGGATGCCGAAAAAGACGCCCGAGTTGTTGATTTTCAAAACACCTGATACATGAAATCGCTCTTTTCGTCGGCAACGTTGACCCGAAACGAGATTAAAAAAGAAAGGTTTTTGTTTCTTTGAATTACGTGATGAATTTTGAAATCTGATCATCATTTATTTTTCCACCAAAAGATCAACGTACTTTGGTTATCTTTGATTTTTATTGAGGCTAAATACTCATTATTATTATTGTTCTTATTATTATTATTATTATTATTATTATTTATTATTATTCATCCTGTGGCAAAACGCTCAAATAAAACTGAACATAATTATTTTTTTTTTTTTTTAGACGCAAGGCATCACTGCGAAGATCATTTGATTAAGAGTTTTAATTTTGTCATCCATCATTTTCCGCGAGCTGTTAAAGTTTAATCAGTAGTACTTATTTCTGTCCCCATGCACGAATCGTCCCAATTCCACTTGATCTGTATCGATATATTACTATCGTGCGTATGAGGCACATTGCCACTTACGAATATTTATAGGGTGGATCACAAAAATTCTAATGAGCTAAAATAATTTTACGGACAACAGATGTAGGTACAAATAATTTATACTAACCACGTGATTATTTCAACAATTGCAGTTTGAAAATCACTGAAAAAGCCACAGAAAATTGTAAACTTTCCATTTCCTATGAACCGTCCCATCCACGAGGTACACTTCTCCTCCTCAAAAAACACAATAAATCATGATAAATTCAGATGTAACCGAAAAAAAAAAAAAAAAAAAAAATCAAAATCTCTCGAGAGGCGCGCAAATGTACACAACCGTATTAAAATTTCACACGCACCGCTCAGTCCAGCTTTCCCGAGTACGATGAACTTGGGAACAAAAAAACAAAAAAAAAATCGCGAGATAGCGCCTTATCACTCTTCAAATACACACACAACTCCGTATAAGCAAAATCTTTTTGTTTCCCGACTCGTATATCCCTTTGTATGTGCCCCCAAAAACGAGCTTCAAAGTAGCCCCTCCACCTTGAATGTACACAAACCGGTAAAACGTCACCCCCAAACCAGTATACCTACCCTCGACTCTTCCTTTCCTGCATCCAAAAGTTAGCTTTTAACCCGTTGTATGAAAAAAAAAAAAAAAAAAAAAAGCAATCCCTCCCGTCCGCGTATTCACGACACCCCCGCAGTAGCCCCGCCCACTAAAACACAATAGGTATACCGGACAATGGCAGGGGAGGGGGCACGTATAGCCGTACGTACGACCCGGGGATGCGCCCGATACATATACCTGTCGAGTGCGTGGCACGCGCACGCGTGGCGGGGCGCCGGTATATATACCTTCAGCGAAGGGGAAGCTCGAAAGAAGACGATCACCGAATAAGAGCAAGGGAGAGAGGGAGACAACTGCGTGTGTACTACCTTTGTAACTATCCTACCTGCGCGCGGAGGGAAGAAGAAGAAGAAGAAGCAGGTAAGTATTAACAGAAGGCCCCGAGCGAGCGAGCCACGCGTTTCAAAGTCAGTCGGCCCTCGGAGCTTGAGCCGGACGTACGTACGATTAACAACCTCTTCGCGCTCTCGCTTCATTTCCCTCTGGTTCAGTTTTTTATTTTTTTATTATTTTTTTTATTGTTGTTTTCTCATCTCTTGCCCCGCTGTGACTCGCACAACCCTTCCACGTGTGCTGTAACAGTTTCATTTATCGAAAGTGCAAATTGATTGATAAACCTTTCGGAGGAGCCGCAGTGATCGATAACCATTTCAACAATTTGTTTGCGATTATCTCGGTTGTGGTTTGCCTTTTGGTCGAGGATGACGAGCCGAGCTGGGCAGCTCTGAGCTCGGCACCCCTTCGGAGCTGCGGAGAGACATGTGCGGTGAGTTGCTTTTCCTTACCGGTTATAGTTTTCCCTTGCTTTTGCTTGCCGATCGCCGGGTTTTATGTTTACCGATTTTTTTTTTTTTTTTTTTTCTTTCTTTTTTTTCCACTCTTGCGTTTAATCTTGTTCAACACCATGCGCCACTCGTCCATCTCTTATCGCGTAAAGTACCAATCGCCCGAAAGATGTACGGCAAAATCACGCGTGTTTTTTCTTTTTTTTTTAATTAACACGTGTACCGAGATGCTGAAAACCCGGGTATTTATTTTAATACGTTCGCGTGCTGAAATCGGTACCGCTTTTTCTTACTCTCCCTCTCTTTTTTTTTTTTTTTTTTTCGAACCTAATATTACACGTACACGCGCGTATTGTATAAGCAAACGGGAGGCCGCCTTCTGTGCAAACATTGATTTCCATGCGATCGACATGTGTCGGCCTTTTTTTGTTGTCTTTGTTTGGCTCGTTTTGTTTTCTTTCCGCGAAATCGTCGCCAAATCTCCGGCGCCTTCGGACAGTCATACAGAGGTACACGTATTATAAAAAGGCTTACCCTCGCGGAGTCTCTCGTTGACCCGGCGCGAAAGTATGGCGGGTCGCCCTGACGGTACGCGCCCTCGTTTTTCTCGTACATGTATACGAAAGTAAGGGTTGGAAGGGTGCCGATCTCTTCCCTACTGGGGGTACTTTGGACACGAGAATTCTCGGTTTCCTCGTTAAGGGGCGTAACAACAATCGTTAACCGCGTTTGCAGAAGCCGTGCGGCATCGCCAGCAAACCGATTGGCACATGAAAGCCGAACTCGAGTGCGGGGCCATGAGGGGCGCGACGGTGTTGGGCCTGCCGGCGGGCACCCTGTCGCCCCCGGTGACATTGTCGCCCCCCAACAGCCCGTCCATCCACCCTTGGAGTCCCTCGGGCACGACAATGGGCAACCAGCAGCCCGCGGGCACCCACGAGAGGACGAGCGCCTTCAGTCTCGTGTCCGCCGGGTACAACGGGGACCTACCGAGACTGCCCTCCTCGACCGCCCTGCCCAACAGAGGTACGTACCATATACATTGCTACACCGCGAGTGACGAAAGTGCGCTCGTACTTTTTTTTTTTTTTTTTTTCTCTTTCACCGTGGGACGGGCCCGCTTTGAGACCACAAACCCCGAGAAGTCTCCGAACGATGCCTTTTTTTTCTTTCTTCACCATTAAACGTATAGTATAAACCCACCTGCGGTTTACGCACTTTTGTAATGGTATATTGTACGCTTCGCGTGTTTCACAACATCGCTGGTCGTGGGGAAGAAATCACGCGAAACCTTTCCTATACGTTATAGGGTTGCTCGCACAATAGGGGGGGGGAGGGAGGGTTGCGAAAGTGCGCTATACGTACGGGGGTTATTATCTCGTCCCAAGGCGAGGAAAATCGGTTCCTTGAGAAAAAAAAAAAAAAAAAAAGGTATACGTATATAATATTGTGCACAACTAACACACAACCCGTCCCCTGTTGGCCCCTCGTAGGAGCGGAGATGCGTTGCAACCTGACGATGTACGGGGGTTACGGTAGCGTGGCCACCTGGTGGGCCCAGCAGGCCATGGCCGCGGGTCTCCTGCTGACCCCGGCCCGTCCAACCTACCCGAGCCAGGCCCAACAGCACGAGGACGCCGTCGGCGCGAGCATGCAAGCTACCGAGCCACCTACCTCGGCCATGGAACCGTCCCCGCGGAGGTGCACACCCGAAAAGGCCAGATACCGTGAGTACACCTTTCTTCCCTTTTCCTTCTTTCGCTAAACCGCGCTTGGTCCCCGGGACTCGACCTAACAATAAATAATCATCTTGTCTCGACAGTGGAAGAGGCCCCGCTGAATCTGAGCACGAAGCCGAGCGACTTGTCGAGCTCCCGTTTGATCGGCGTCGGCCACCACCGTCAAACGATCGGCCCCCAAACGAGCCGCCATCAACAGGGTCGGGCCAAAAGCGAGATCTGGTCGCCGGGGTCGGTGTGCGAGCGCGAGGCCCGCGAGACCCTGGGGCCAGCCTCGGTGGAGCGAGAGTCTCGCTCGGGTCGCAGCTCGCCCGCTGGTACCATTGGCGACAACGAGCCCATGGTACTTCAGATGCCCAGGCAGCACTACCTACCGCCCACCCCGCCCTCGGCAGAGCGGACCTTTCAGGTTGGTTGCGCGGACCTTTTTTTTTTTTTTTCCATAACTTTGACCGCGCCATTTTCGGGTACCGCGCACTTATCGTAAAACCAAAAGTATACGTACAAGGGAATAAGTACGGGTGTGTGTGTGTGTCTGCGGGCTGGACAAACACGGTTCTGTCAACTTTGGGCAAAATGTACGAGCTTTCGGGGAAACTCGATGCTTATACATATTTGCGTCGCACGTTTTTTTGCGTTGGAGAGGGAAAATGTTTTCCTTCATCGCGTAATTTTTCGCTTTTTGTATATCTCGTCAATCACAGTACCGATAGGTACACCCACACTCGAGGGGGGGGGGGATTCAGGTCACTCGGTGCAAAAACACGGAGATAGCTCAAAAATCGAAGATTCGCACATACCATGCGAGTTTTACGTGCGCTCGTAAAAGAGCGAAAATAACACCTGTCCTTTGGGGTGCTCCGTCCTCTATATAATACGAAATGGGGTGGCTTTTTTTTTTTACGCGCGGAGGATAATAGCGCGGCGCTTGTGAATTATGCACGCGCTAAGGAGGATACGTGTACGTCGATTTGCGATGATTTCGAAGGGTATTTATTTTTCATGCGCCGTTTGTTGTGTGTTTCCATTTGTTGTGTTGCATTGTCCACGTCAAGGGGGTATACAATATTGTGAGGAAAATAAAAAAAAAAGTCGATTGCTTCGATTTGCTAATGTACATCTCGATGTAAGCTACTTCACTCTTTATTCATTATTGGCTGCGAAGAGGCGTCTCTTTTTTTATTCCATCGTAATTTCCGAACGCGCCATAGTTACAACCTGTGACGCTTTTGTGCGTCTCGCGGGGGAGCCTATATTTAAACGGCACTCGATCGAATCCGATAAGATAACGGGCACACAATGTACACCAGTGAGATTTTTTCCAAAATCACTGAACCGCGAAAAGTGTCTTTGAAACGCGTATCTGTACAGACTGGGGCTGCCGTTATCTCCAGAGCTAAAAACACCGTTTGACAAATATTACCCGTAGCCTGTTTTCCTCGCATCCGCACACTTTTGTCAATCATTACCCCCCCCCCTCCCCGGTTCGCTCTACAAATCCAAACACGCGTTTAGTTCAAATATTTTGACATACGTAATTGCAACACAACTGCGAATGCCAAAAACTCGTGCCCATTATTTTAATAATAAACGAGAAAATCGATCTATTTCCATCTATTTGATCAGCTTTGGCGAATATAGATGACGATCGCTTCAAAAATAACGAATCGATAAGGGGACCCGACGCTTCGAAGTACACGCGTTGAATTTTGAAAAATTTTTGTGCTTCCTCGCTTTGTACGTGCATTCCAGCGAATGAATACTTTTCCCTAAAACATTTGTATACACGCTCGCAACGAACAAAAAAAAAAAGAAAAAAAAGAAATGGACGATCAGAAAATTAAGCTCTCGTTTTCTCGGTCGCGTTGTTGCAGTGCAAGCAGTGCGGCAAGGCGTTCAAGCGGTCGAGCACCCTGAGCACCCACTTGCTCATCCACTCGGACACGAGGCCCTACCCCTGCCAGTACTGCGGCAAGAGGTTCCATCAAAAGTCCGACATGAAGAAACACACCTACATACACACCGGTAAGTTGTGTTTATATAATGTTTACTCGCACAATTGTAATGATTGTTTATTCGTTACAAAGTTTCTCGTTTTTCATTTTTGGCATTTACTCGAACCGATGAAACTCCAATAAGTTGTTTAAGTTGTGTCCCGTGCACTAACGCGCACGCAACCCGACAATTAGCCTCGATTCGCAAACAAGGGGAACAATCGTCGTGACCTTCGTAAAAAAAAAAATGGGGGGAGGGGGGGGGGAAGAAAGAGTTGGGTGTTTCGTAAAGAAAACGAGTTCGTCAAAGGGCTGAAAAAGCGCCATATGCCCCGTGTACGTATATATAGCGCATATCCGCTTGAGTAATTGCGGACGATTCGATTGCGCACTATATGGTGCAGGCTTGTGTGCGCGTTGATAAATCGGTATCGCCCACTCCCGAAGGAGATCGAGGTTTATTAAACAATTAAGCCCGGCTCACCCAGTGATTTATCCGATTCGCGCGCTCGGAAATTAATGAATTAATCACCCACCCCGTGAATATACATATACATGTGTATATACTCCCTGCACCCATCGAGAGAATATATATATACAAAAACGGAGATGCTTTTCCCTCGCGTGTATAATGGGTTGGTTTAACGATGCGTATATTAAGAGAAAAAGAAAAAAAAAAAAAAAAAGAGATCAGAGATAAAAGCAGCGGTTATCCTCGTTAGTGCGCGCGCGTTATATAGTTCGATGATTTACGCGCTCTCTCGGGGCCCGGTCTTCCGTGAAATTCGTTTTCTCGTTTAACGATAACTAACGGATTGATTGATTTCTTTTGTTTTCGCTCCGTCTCGCCGGTGTGTCTATGTGTACCGGTGCTCAAACTGTTTTTTTTTTTTTTTTTTTTTTTCCACGTTTACCACTTCCAGATGTACATTCGAATGTATACATTTGCATATATTGGTAATTACCGCCGTTTGTCTTTACCGGAGGGAATACTACATTGCCGATTTGCATGATGCGGACGTAAGGTTGGTGGAGAAAAATGAGCGATAGAGTGACGAAATTCGTTTATAGATTGTGGATGATTATTGATCTCACTTTGTGACGCTGAACCATACCGGGGGAAGAAAAAAACAGCGATGACAATAAAAGTATATGTTTGTTCGTAATGGGTTTATCGTGAAACTTGTACGCAAAAATATTGTTTAGTTGGGTATTGGACGGTACCGAGGAAGAATACAATGGAGAAATGAGGGTTTAACGTTGCTCAACCCTCGCGACACGCGTCTCCAAGTATTCCGTCATTGCGACCGCTGTGTAAAAGACAAACCGAAACTTTCCTAATGTCCGAAAGAACGATAAACTCGGTAACAAAGTACTTACACCCATGTACCGGCCATCGACTGCCATCGTGCCGTATTAGTGTACAAGAGGGTATATTCAGCGCCAACAGAGTCCCCATGATTCTTTCATCACAAACCCGTCCACCCGTGTGTGGGTACTGTGTATACCCTTCGGGTGTGTGTTACGGTCATATAGTACGTCGCGATGAAAAAATAGGGTGTTCCGTGATTATTCGCGCTGTATTGAAAAATCACTGAATATCGGTTTTTATTTAAACTGTATGCGGACGTGACAATACAATAGTACTGAATTCTAGAGTTTCCGTCGATCGCGTCAACAAACAAAACTACACAGAAACTCGATGGTTTCGGTAGCAAATTTCCACCAAATTTCAAAGCTTCCAACAAGCGTTGAAATGAAAAATAGCTCGCGCGATTATCGATTTTCGGTGGGGGGAAAAAAAAAAGAGTAAGTACGTTTGGTTACTCAAACCATCCAAAAAGAACCCACGAATAATCCGAATTGATTGGCCCCTTCGCGGAATCACGATAAAACCCCTAATACGTAAGGTTGTTACACCCCCCCCCCCTGAAACGCGGTGACGCACGATCCTCCGCGGTAGGTATATGGGTATAAATATATACTTTTATTTCCACCTCGCACACGTGTATTACCCAATCTCGGCTCATCATCTCACTCCGCAAACTCACCCGTGCCCCGCCCCGATAAATATTTAACAATCCCATCGATATACTGTGTCTTGGCTCAAAAAAAAAAAAAAAAAAAAAGAGGAAGCAATGCCGATTATCGTGAGAAAGCACTCACGCAAAGTTCTCCATTCCCGTGTTTTTTTACTTGCACCTTTTTTTTTTTTTATTAACATACGCGACGCGCGACCGCATCAGCGGAAAGGGGAGGACACACGTAGCGTTTAAGCTGCGCTTCCGGCGCGGAGGGGCCAGCGCACGTGCCACTCGCGTGCGGCACCCACTCTCCCGTGAGCTAATTAAATTCGAAAGGGGGAGAAAAAAAAAAAAAAAAAAAAGGTAAATCGAGGGTCGTCCCGTTTTGTCTCGCTTCGTTTGCCGTTGCCCCATATATTACATCCACGGGACGTGTACAAGGTACCTCTTGTATGTATATATGTCTGCGTGTGTGTGCGCACACATTACAGTAACCGTCATTAGCCCCTTGATGGAGCGACGATGAGGATGCACCATCGCCCGCCGCGCAACACACGTTGACATTTATTGTACTCCTTGTATTTTTCGAGTCGATAATAATATTATAATGTAATACGTGTAGAAACAAACGGACGGATAAGCACCAGCGGGCAGTGATACCGGTTCACCCTGGATAATCCTCGTGTATGGCCGATACTCGAGTTTAATTGGCTTAGATTACGCGTATGGCTATTGTACGGAAGGAAAAAAAAAAACAAAAAAAAAAAAAAAAAAAAAACAGTACAATCCGCGCGCTCGGGGAGGGTGTATAATGAGCGCGATGATAACGATGTGGGTGTGCGGTCGCGTCGATCGCTCAAACGCAAATTGCGCGAAGCTCGTGTATATAGCGCGTGCCTCGGTCGCAAGGTCAGCGACGATTTTTACCTCAAACATCATACATCGGCTCGCGTTACGGCCTGTGGCTATCGTTTGCCCCGCGAGTACATGTAACGTTATAATTGTCCGGCTGATGGGTTTTCGCGGAGATAACGATAAAGAAGCAAACGCTTCTGACGTACGCTCTTCAATAAGGGTTTTTTTTTTTTTTTTTTCTTTTTTGAGGACAAGCATATTATACATGTGTCGATTAATTAATGCACGCGTTACGTGCTCGCATGAGGTGAAACAAATATTTTTAACGGTGCGATACCCTAGAAAATCCATCACTATCAACAAACGAAATTTTTCTTGAATTTGATATGTGTTATGTATTATATTCGTACTAATTTTTAACGTATTTGAATTTAAAATATCGTCTTTTAACGTGGGCTGTAGTATAAGGTACAGGAATACAACAGCTTTAAATACTGTACGAATCTTATTAGTTCTTTCAAGTTACGGTGTGTCGGCACGAAATAAAAAATCATTTTATTATGATTTTCCATTACACAAGCATACAACCATGACCTGTAAGACTGTTATAATACTGTCAGGATTTTCTACCTTATAACATATAAACGTATACACGAGAGAAACGCAATAGAAATCAGATTTCTTTTGAATTATACGGTTGTACTATAACGTTCCGTAAAGTTATTGATCATGTTTCTTTTGGTTTTCTATATACCTCCGTATATTATTGTTGCGTCCTTCTGTTAGCGCCTCACGCGGATAACCGAGTCGATAAAACTTGGCAAAACATTTTTGAGCACGTTCATCCATCCCTCTGTAAATACAATTTATTGTTATGGGTAAAGGCACCAAGTCATGTTTAATATACAAGAGGGATTTTGCATTAACTAAACCCCCTTTTTTTCCATCCCCTCGATGACTGTATATGATATACCGTGGCATTTACATAGAAAGAAAAAAAAAAAAAAAAAAAAAAAANAAAAAAAAAAAAAAAAAAAAAAAAAAAAAAAAAAAAAAACTTCCCGCAAGCCCATGCGTATAATATATCGTTACATTTTTCGTGCATCTCCATCGGGTGTATTATATACATATGCAGAGCGCGATACTTAATGACAGCTCGGGCTCGTCTTGATAATCACGAGGTTCCCGCATTTGCATTTGTTGTAAATAATGAACACCACGTGTACGGCTGGAATTAGACGTGTGTATATATACATACCCACCCAAGTAGCGTATGTATATACCTATATATAAGCACACCGAAAGAGGGGGAGACTATAAGTTTATGCATAATCGAGGATTGATTTTCTACTTTATTTCCTTGGCGTTTTTTTCTTTATACATATATATATATATATATAACTCTCGCAGAGTTTTCCTCGAACCCTTTCGCCCGCGCGCTGGTGCATACACGGAAAATTGCAGGTTCCCTCACTCCCTCCCTCCTTCGCCGCGCTATCGATCATACGCGTGTACATCACTTTGGGTGTAAATAAATAAATAAACAAACGTATCCTCAACAACCCGACACTCGTGCATGTACCTATTATATATATATATATGTACTCGGAGCTTTCTTCTGCTCGTTAGGATTCGCGAAAACCCGAGAATTTCGCAAAGGAGCAAAAAAAGAAGAAGAAGAAGAAGAAGAGTCGAGGAGAAGGCCATATAATATATATAGTGTAGGCGCTTGGGCAAATATTTACCGAGAGAGTCGGGTGTGTGTGTGTGTGTGTATATTGGTGCTCATCCTGCAGCAGTACTTTTTACAAAGGGTCGACGAAGAAACACATCAAATGTGTCGAAGCCGAAGGAGAGGAGAAAAAAGAGGGCGCCGATAATGAGGTGCTAGATGGATCGATATGTATGCGCGAGCCTCCGACCGACTGTGACTGGAAACAAAAACACACCTGCCACCTGTTCCATGTATATGTTGGGATCTTCCTCGTATACCTCGTCTTTTGGAATCCCGAGACCGGAGATTTTAAATCTCTGACTCGGGGTGGTCGCAACCAACTCCCCTCCTTTTTTGTCCACCACATCGTTTTCCAACTCGGATTTTCCAAAGTCACTGGTTGGAAGCAGCCTGGAAACGACGGTTATTAGCTCCGAGCTGCGAGAGTGCAGTGTTATCGCGTGGATAAAAATAAAAGCGCGCCCGAGAAAACGCAATGCAAAAGAGAAAAAAAAAGAAAAAAGAAAAAGCCCAACAAGTTGAAACAACAAGTTGTGGCAACAAAACGCACGGTCATCCCGTTGTGCGATAAATATCCCCTCACCTGAAAAGACAATTAATCAACCGCTGACCAAGAGTGTGCGCGACACTCTATATTTTTTTTTTTTTTTTTTCTTTTCACGTATGTATATGGCACACAAAGTGTATGTACGCAAAAGCGCGCGCATCGAATTAAATAAATTGACAATTAACGCGGCCGTCGCGTTGATGCAGCTGTGTTTGGTCAGCCTTGAGTCATCGTCGCTTTTACCCCCGATTACTTGTATATGTATATCCCTGCGTGGCACTTTTCTGTGCTTTTACGTATATATATATATATAATCACCACCAACATATCTAAATCGATCGGACAAAGGACATTGGGCGTAAAACGTGTACACCCTCGCGCACCGATAATAGCACATAATAATATCGGGACGACATAAAAATGGTAAGAGAGAAGAGTTATTACGTATATATATATATGAATGACATGTTTGTCCCATCGGTAACAAATTTATATAGAGTAAATTCCATAAGATGCAAAACGAGAAGCAAAGCAAAGATAATACTTACATATGATAAAGGTAATCGCTAACAAGGGGCAATGTCGTTTATGCTGTTTTTTTTTTTTTTTCTGTCCACAGGTGAGAAGCCGCACAAGTGCGTGGTCTGCCAGAAGGCCTTCTCCCAGAGCAGCAACCTGATAACGCACATGCGCAAGCACACGGGGTACAAGCCCTTCGAGTGCAACCTCTGCGACAAGGCGTTCCAGCGTAAGGTCGATCTGCGCCGGCACCGCGAGGGCCAGCACCCGAGCGCCCCGGCCCTCGATTACCGCTCCCTAAGGGCGCCCTGCCAATCCAGCCCCGACACCACGACCACCCTACCCCCCGAGCCCGAAACCACGGCCTACACCGACAGCTGAGGACTCCCACCCGCCTACCCATAAATTCCACACTTTCATTGGCTTTTCGTCTTTGGATCACCACGGCTGTACACAACAATGGACCCGATGGATGCACCTCGTTTGTACACATACAAATATATACGCAATGCCGATTACACACGCACGGTACGTGTTGGCTGAAATCGAAGAGGGTTGGGGAGGGGGGGGGAAGAAAAAAAAGAGCGCCCCGTCACGATTTTCCCGAAGAGGAGTCCCCCTCCCGAAGCTTCCGAGCTGTTCGTCTTTGGCTCTGATGGTTGGCGCGCGCCAGCACCTGTTGAGGATATAATATACGGAGATAACGATCGCCTCCCTGCTTCTTCTTCTTCTTCTTCTTCTTCTTCGTGTTTTTCCTCTTGCATTCCACGCGCGCGTCCGTTGCGTTTGTGTATACATAGGTAATGTGCGCACAGGGGCGATCGTACAAGGTGCCCGGGGTAAATTTTCGACTTGTATATACATCAGGACGGTTCGTACTTGCCCTGTATTGTATTTGTCATTGATACACGTGGCCTTTGAGTGCCTTGCGTTTCACGCGTTTTGTTCTTTTTTTCTTTTTTTTTTGACGAAAATGATGGGTATCCATTTGTATAACTTTCCGATGGAATCAACAATCTCTCATAGTATGCAGATATATATATATATATATGCTCACCGGTAGAGATAATAAGTGTACATGGCTATATGCGTATCTGAATGCCGAGCGAGTGAGTCGACTCGGTGTTTTTGTGATGAGTATATGTATATATAGGGTATGGATCACGGGAGGCCTTACCGGGAGTGTTTCAAAAATGAGCGTTATCCGAGCACATGAAGTTTGAACAGTTGCGCTCGAGGAGTGGAGGAATAACAACGCCGAGGTATTTTTGGCTTTTATCGATTTTTTTATAATGTGCGCATCACCTATGCAACCATCGAGATGATGTGGTTATTGCCGCGGAGATGGCGCACTTTTTTTTTTCATTTGGAGGGGGCAAGAGTTCGAAAAGGGCTCTTTCGGGGGTCAAAAATGGTGGGCGATATTGCACCGATATTTTTACGCATATTTGCACTTTATTGTACCATAATAGCACTCGTGCGTGCGTTTTTTTTTTTCGTTCAACATGTAAATATTAATATTCACGTGTCATAGTCCATCGAAGCCAAAGCCGTACGTGATTTCGAAGGAATGTTGACGTGCGTTTGATGATTTGCGATGTTTGTTATCGGTTTTGCATCGGTTTTCGCCGATCGCGATAGTGCAGCAACATGTTTGATCGATTGCTCATCGAAATACAACAGCTGTCTATTGTTGCTCGACCAATTTTCACTTTGATGGAAAACGAACGATTCGTCGTCCAGTCGATTCGCTGCAGCTACCGCGTCGATGTGTACGTAGATCGGGAAAATGATGAAAATTAAAATTGTGTAAGGGAAGGGTGTAAAAAAAAAAACCAATGAGTGACTTTAACCATGATTATTGGTATTCTTTCTTGTATCGTGGAGCAAAAGTTTCATAACGGCTAGAGGACCAAAGATAGCTTAAGGCACTGTTTACCAGAAAATAAAGGCTCGATCGCTTCGACGGCGTTTGCTCTGTAACTCACGAGGTGGGAAAAAAAAAAAAAAAAAAAAAAAAAAAAAAAAAAAAAAAAA